AGGTCTGAAATTTGGAGACTGTAGGAGTTAGACAGTCAAATGTGGGTGGCCATCAGCTTATAAGTGGTATTCAAGTCATGGAGTCAGATAAGGTTATCTGGTCAGAGAAAAGAGAGAGAAGGAAATCAGGGCTAGGCCCAGTTTGGTGCCAACCTTAGAGACCGAGCAAAGGAGACTGTGTTAAAAGGGACTGAAAAGAAGCCAAAAGTGAGTTGGAGGAAAGCCAGTGTTGTAGGAAGGTGGGACTGGAGAGGCCAACACAAAGACACAGGTAACCTCAGTGGAATGAGGGGCCAGAAGCCGACTGATGAGGTTGGAGGACAAAATGCAAGTCAAGTGAAGAAGCTATAGTCCACTGCTTGCATCAGTTTCGCTGTGAAGGGGAGCAGAAAAACAGGTTGGTCACGGCCTAGCCTCATTTCCCATCACTGCTTCATTCACAAGGATTCCACTCACCCTCTAACCACTCATCTCTCCGGCCCACTCAAGTACTGGCACTCCAACAAGTCTTCAGCCCCATCAGGACCTGCAAGTCCACGTTCGCCTTTCCCTCCTTACCCTGCTACCTACTTTCCACGGCCCACCACCAAGGCCACTTCCTTGCACTTCCCCTTCTCCCTTTACCTTCTTCTCTCTCCCTCCATCACTCAGGCAAACCTTAACTCTGATCAAAGTCAACTCTTATTTTATCCCTGCATCCAAGGAGCTACACGTGGCTGAATCAAACACGCAACTATGCTTATCAGCCTTGTTGTAAACTTAGGAACATAAATCTCAAGTCGATCTTGAAGAATGCCCTGCAATATACCACATTACCCTGGTGAGCTGACGTTCCTACTTTCGAAGATGATTGCTTCACACCAATACTCTTCTCAAGCCTCCAGCTTCCCCTCCCACTTCTTCACTCTAATTATTTTGCTTTTTAGTTCACTGAGAAAATAAATCGAGACCACCTTGTCCTCTTGTCACAAAATCTCCTATCCTACCTACGTCTATGCCCACACCCTCTGCCTTGTTGCAAAGGCCAATGCTTCCATTTGTGTGCTGACTGCATCGCCAGTTTCCCCCTTCCATGGGATTATCATCATGCACAGACACACAGAGCTGCAGTATTTCCCATCTGAAAAAATACCATCCTCAAGTTCCCTCCAGATACCAATCCATCTCCCTGCCCCCACTTCTGAGGTCTCTAAATTCTTTGCAGGGTTCCCTCCCTAACTTCATTCCAGTTTCTGATCATCGTCACTGCTTTAGAGAGATGCCACCTCTATAATACAATCTGTCCTCTCCCACCCAACTAAGTCATTTCTTCTCCTTCCCTGTTTACTTTTCTGATTAGCACTTTTACTTCTTCAAATTATATGCTTGTCTCCCCTTTAAAATGTAAGTAAGCTCCTTGAGAACAGGAGTCTTTATCTACTCAACCCATACCACCTACATGTCTTGGCCACTCAAATCATTGGTCACATTACAGAAAAAGGTATTTGAAAAGGGAGGTTCAAAGGCAGCCCTCTATTTTTGGTAAAGCAAAATACTACAGCATATTTTTATGGATGGGAAGAATCCTGTAGAAAAATGTGTTAATGTAGGAGTAAGGGATAATGTAGAAGGTAGAAGAGATATAAACAGAGGCACATTGCTGGACTTTGAGAAATGGAAAGAAATCAGGTCTGGGATGAAAAGCCTCCACTGATCTCTGTACGTAATCCTTGGAATCCTTCCCCACAGAGTGACTGCTGGGATTGTGCTCTGAGAAGACACCCTGTTATCTTTTATATGAGATTGACCAAAGTGTGGTATACTGAATTTCATGATGCAGCAGGCTTCCTAACAAAAAGATGTATTTATTTTGCAAAGCTAAAACATGAAAGCCCCAGGGTGGTTGAAAAATAATAGCCTACACATTTTTTTTTATGTACTGTAAACTAAGAATGACATTTTCATCAGTGCCTCTTTCTCTTTCAGGAACTATGTGAAAAACAACATTTGTTTTATGAGTCATCACCAAGAAAAATTAGTGCCAAGGCAGCCGCAAAAAAGAAAACCGCAGGAGCAGCTCTTGGAGTGTAACAAGCTGTGTGGTAGGGGCCAATCCAGGCAGCTTTCTCCAGAGACCTAATGGCCTCAACACCTTCTGAACGTGGACAGTGCCAGAACACTTAGGAGGGGGTCTTTGGACCAATGCATAGATGTGACTCTTATGCTTTCTTTTCAGTGTCATGGAACTAGTTTTGAAGAGATACTCTGAAATGATAAAGACAGCCTTTAATCTCCTCTTCCCCAAAAGGAACCTCAAAAGTTAAATGAGGTACAAGGTCCTAAGTGATCTCTTTCTTATTCTGAGCAGGATATCAGGTTGGAAAAAAGCTACTGGCTGGTTTAATCTACCCTCTTCACAGAGCCTTTGTTTGAAAAGACTACATCCTAGCGAAGACATCAACCTCTGCCTTAAGCTCTGTATGAACGGAGGCCAGTCGCAGCTTTATTACTCAGACACAAAAGTGGCCTGGACACGGTACAGTTTTTGCCTACCAAGCCACTATTTGCACTGGGTCTCACGTAAGAAAGAACCAGGACACACAGTGTGGACAACTGCCCATATATTCTATCTGGAGTAGGGGAGGGTCCCGGCGAGCATTTCAGTAGTAATTCCTAGTTATAGTTCAAAAAGTATGAAGATTATACAGCTTATTTTATGAATTATAAACTACAATTTAATGAAAATATCCTTTTATGAATTTCATGTTAATATTGTAAAATATTAAAAGAATTCTGCAATAGTTGAGAAAAATGAGCATTTTTTTCCATTTTTAAAAAATACATAGAAAAGACAATTTTAAGATCCTGGGACCACATTTATTTAGAAGTAGCTGTTAGTAAAATATTAGAAAAGGAGTCAGGCCGTTAGGTTATTTATCCAAATCTCCAAGCAATTAGGTTTAAGTTTATTAAGTCAAGCCTATAAAAGTGGCGTCCTTCTAAGGCTTTCATGACAATGTAATAGCCATCCACAGTGTCCTGCAATTCTTCACACACCTCAGGAATATCACTACCTCAGGTTACAGCACACAGGCTATAATCGATGAACTTTCAGATGACCGCGGACACAATAAATGACATTCAGACATCAGGACAATTCCCTCACTATGTGCTTCGCTATGATGGCTACCTGTACCAGCAATGTGGGTTTCACCCACACAATGATGAACTGTTCTCTACTTCTCCAGCTGATTTTAAAGACTTGGTAAGATGCCTTACTAATAAAATTTGGGTATGATGATAGAAAATCCACAATCAAATCTTGAACCACTTAAGTAGTAACATATTAAATTACTAGTATTGTAAGTGATGGATGACACACAAAAAACTTAAAAGCATCAACAACCTAACTTGGAAAAGAATTTTAAAACATGATTAACCTGAAGGAAAGAGAATACTAAGAGCCAAACCTCCTTTTTATTTAGCCTAGAATTTTCCTACTGGTTCCTAACAAACTGTCTCAATGTCATATAAGGGAACATGATCTGCTACATTCCCTTATAACAATGCAGAGAGACTATAAATCCATGTAAGAGAATAAAACTATATTAGAGACTCAGGAGAATGACTAAAAGGCCTAGATCTGCAGTGTATTATCTGCATTAAAATTGGCAGTGGGCAGCTAAAAGTAAAGATTTGAGATCTCAGTTCTATCATGGTATATTTCAAATGCAAGTTAGAGCATGCATTGTCTTTTGTTTTTGAAAAGAGAAGGTAAAGTGTATTCTCCCCATGTTTCCTTCTGTGTTTCATAGTTCAAACACTATACATACTTTAAGTATTTTTTGGTTTAGCCATTCATTGTAAATGGGCAGGGAACTGTTTATCCACGTAGCTTGGTTTATTACTAGTGACCTCGACTTCAGTATCTTGAGCATTCTATTTTTCTTTTCTTATCCTGAGTCTGTAACTAAACAATTTTGTCTTCAAATTAATTTTTATCCAATACCCACTGCCCCACACCAAATCAAGCTTTCTGATTTTCAAAAATAAAAAGGGGAAAATACTTACAATTTATACATATACATTCACAGTTCTTATTTATTAAAAAAATTTACAGTACTTATGGAGAGCCAGCAGAAGACCTCAGAGCGCTCACTTCTTCCCGTCTTTGTTAAGGTTAGCAAATTACCCATGGACACTGCTAGGTGAAGCTCACTCAGCAGCCCTGAAACCAGACCTGGTCACACTGTCCCTTCAGATAAAGCACTTCAATTAGCTATTGATCTGCCCCGTTTTCAAGTCATGTGAATACTAAAAAGCTTCCATCATCTGGATCTGTACCTTAGCTATATAAGCATGTTTTCCCCCATTCTGTATTTCTTCTTTTGGTGAACATTGCAAAACAGGAAGTGCCTTACTACTGTTAATTAAAACTAAATGAAAAATGTAAAATCTTTAAAACAGTGAGCTTGTAACTCTTTCATGTAATTTTATTCTCTATGAGTTTGGCTAGCCTACTGAACCTTAAAATGAAGGAAATAAAAACTTTTTTTTTTAAAAAAGGAAAAATAAAAGTCTAAAAAACCTCAATGAAATCTTTCATAAGAAAGAAAAATGTAGGTTAGGCTTTGCCTTCTACTTTGGAGGGAGTAAGAAGCAGGTTAGGGAAGGCACTGAGAAGAAAAAAGATAAAAATTGTATGTATTGTTCAGTGCAGTGCCTAAGCTAGGTTTTCAAGATTTTACAATATGGTAAGGAAAATATACTTACTATATATGGAGGTTAGGATGTTGCAATTTTTCCACAAAGGTTTTAAAACATTTTGGAAATACAAGTTTTTGTGGAATATTGCCTCCATTAAGTTTCTCCTGAGAAGTTAATTGGACTCTCCACTTAGCTTTGTTTCTCGGTATCATTACTGTTGGTTACACTCAACTCCTACATCTAAGTGACAGGGCACAACTACAGCTTGATCCTGTATTACCAATTCAGGGCTCCTGGGTGAGCCAGACACACTGTTTCATAAATGCGTATTTATTATCACTTTAAGAGTAGCAATCCCATATACTGACTGAATAGTCACTCTTTAACTCCATTAAATAAGATACAGCAAGGGGAAGGACAATATCACACAAAATGGCTTTCGAATTCAAATGGGACTATTTGATCATTACATTGCGGCACAGAGGCAGCTTGCCTTGTGGGCACTTCTTGTTAAAACAGCTCAATGTTATACCAGCTTCTGACAAGACTCTTAGTATACCCTTGAGCACCAATCCAAGATTAAAGAACCTCAATCACTTCTCTACAACTACAGGTGTTGAGTCTTTCTGGAAAAACAAAGGTCCAAGTGAGGCACCATTCACCACAGCTTCTTTCTCATGTCCGTCTAGTGGGTAAGAGGTTTCTCTTTTTAAAACTACAATTTCTTAACTTTTACATGTTATTTAACACTTTCTATCATATTAAATTAGCAACGTAAAACATCATCCTTTATCTATAAACTTCTAGTCCAGTTCCCTAGAGTTTATATACACGTTTTTATTTCTAATCTTCAAGAAAAAAAACTTCTATTTGTTATTTGGTAACAGAGCATTAAAAGATACTACACACATGTGGTGCGCACACACACACACACACACACACACACACACACATATACACTTCAAAAAGAAGCCAACACACTTTAGCCAAAGTCTTAAGCTTGCATAGATTTTAAAAAAAAGAAGTATGAATACAATTTTTGTTTAAATAGAAAATGGGGAATAAAAGTTATAGAATGGATATGAAGAGAGATTTTTCCAAACTTTTATTTGTGCACATTCAATTGAAAAAGATAACTTTTACAGGTTCTTTGGTGCCCATATTCAGCATACAAAAATGTAAAAGACTATTCACAAATAAAACACATTAGCTCAAAATGGAAAAAAATAACAATGACAACAATAAAACAATCTAAGGTAGTGCACACTGTGACAGCTCTGCTTATGGGGACATGAGAATTACTGCGAAAATAAATAGAATGTCCTTTTGTAAAAGCAGCAATGTCATGTCTTGTAAACTTCCTTTTATATTACAGCAAGGTTTGGAATAAAATCCAGAGGGACTGGAGCTTACACTGTAGCCGTGAATGAATAAAAGAGTCTATTTCCTCAATTACTGTTGGTCCAGTTTTCCTTTTGAGTCCAATGTGCAGCAGGTTTTAAAAGGTGCTCAGTTAGAGATTCTAACCAATTAAGTGGTGACTTATAAAATTTCTTTCCTGCTTTCAAACACAAATGGGTAAATCTGTTCCACAGCAGTAGCAACAGCCTTTACATTGGGCCCTGTAATAAACACAACGGAGAAAGGAGTGAGAAGAGTTGGAAAGCAGAGAGCACTAGGAAAAACTGATTTCCCAGAATTAAAAATATTCAAGTAGTACAGAATATCAAGTTAATTGTTTTTTTAAAAAACTACACATATAATTATACACACAGTCATAATAATGGCAAAAATAATACAGACTTTTTTTTTTCTGGGCAATTAAAGGACATATGAAACACAAAATGAGGTTATTTAAACTATGGTTTAAAAATTCCCACAGATTCACCACCACTGGGTATCCACGTTTGTTACCAATCTGGTCATAAGCCTCAGAGCTTATACGAGTCAATAGAAAACAAAAAAAGCGGAAGGCTATGAGGTGACCATGTGTATGTTAATTCTCAAACAGCTTTATAAAAATGTAAATAGCTAAAAAGAAACTATAAAAAGGGCAATGGAAACTGTTTTCATAAAATTTATTTGAATAAAAATGGCTTAATACACACTTACTGCTTTTGAAAGACCCAGGAAACTAACAAATTCACCCACTGTAAACTCTCTAAAGGTCCTAACCACATCCTGTCTTGCTCAGGTCCTTCCTGACTCATTTTACCTCCACGCTGCTATGCTTTGCTCATGGGAACCAATTCAGTATTACTAATATTTCACAGGATATTCCCGGTGTAAGTAAATAATGCATAATACTTAACCAGGTCAATTGTCTTCAGTTTGTTATCATTTTAATATCTAGTAACGCGGTAAATACAGAGCTTTGCATATGCATTGTTTTATTGTAAACTTAGTAGAGATTTACTAACAGACTTTGGAGCTTCTCAGATGTCCAGGCTCCAAAGTATAGAAACAGAGAGCAGAAAGAAGGGAAGAAACAGACGTGTGGCCTGCCGTGCCATATTTAAGATTCAGGTGGATCTTGGAATCCACTCTGAAGTTCTCAAGGAAGATGGAAAAACCCATGGGATGAGTTAAAACTAAAGTTTATTTGTTGAGAGAGTAAACTATTATTTTCCTCTAAGGACTGAAGAAAAAAAAAAAACAAAGCTCAAGGACACTAAAGAAATCTTAATTCATTTTTGCCTAAGGTTGGGCCTGACTCTCAAGCAATGCCTCTGTACACTTTATAATAATCATAGTACCATTAAAAAGTCACACAGCATGCTAATGCTACTCTTGGACATGAATGCCTAGTCTTCTGAAACCACCCCTTCTCCAAATGAAGATTCAAAAGATATAGCAAGATAAACATAACAAACAGGTACCAATTATATTTAGTATTTTGCTTATGTAAAACCGCTGTGAATACAAAATGAGTTTCTCGTATTTTAAATTTAAGATATCAGAAATTGAAAAAAAATATCATACTATGGATACACATACTAGAGTATTTTTAAAGCTCCACACTGGAAACTATTCAAATGTCCATACACAAGAATGAATGATCTACATACAAATACCCAAAACATAATACAGATGAATTTCACTAAGATAAGGCTGAGTAAAAGAAGACACACAAAATAATACGTGTAACATTTACAAATAGTACAAAAGTAGGTAAAACACATCTACAGTGTTAAAAGTCAGGAGACTGGTTCCTCCTAAAGGGCAGAAGTGACAGATGGGAACAAATCAGACATTATTTCTATCTTGGTATGAGCATCTTGTATCATCCAATCCATAACTGACAAGTTTGGTATCGATATAATAGAATACCTGTTACTGTGATACTTCCCGTCGAAAAAATCTGTAACGTAGCTCTTAGAGACTTTATCCGATAGCACACAGCAGGATGAAGTTCAGGTTCATAACTATACAAAAAAAAGCCACAATTAATATAAGTGTTTATAGCCTGACTAGTAATTTCAAATTTGGTAACTGATCAAGATAAATTGCTTCAAAGACTTACCTGGCATGAGGTCTATTGTTCTTTGTGAATTCTGGCAAACGGATTTCAAATGGCATGTTACACACTGCCAAAACGTTAACAACCTTAAAATCTGTAAATATTACCTTTAGGAGAGAAGTAAAACTCAATAAATTTATTTTGAAACAAAAAAATCTGCTCGTCATGGCAATCCTTAATAATTGTCAATCCTTAAAACAAGAGCAAACAAGATAAAAACATTTTAAGTGTATGTTTAGTAGTGTAAGTTGCGTAGCATTGAGAGCTTTAATTTAATTTTTTAAAAAGCTAAAAAAGTCATTAAAAAATTAAAACCTGAGGTATTTGCATGATTAAAACAGTATGGGTCTTTCTAATCATATGCTTAATTTTTTTTTTTAATACTTTAAGTGAAATACTTAAAACTACTAGGAAAAGAAGGAATAGTGAGGGAAAAAACTGAAGGCCAGGTCATCCTGCTAGAGTAAAAATGGAAAAGATGTCACTCTAGAATGTCAGTAAATACAAACTGTACAGTGGGCTCCAAAAGTCAGATGTTTTCCTCATATGCAATTGGGTAAAATGGCATTTCTGTAAGATTAGTTACAGGTTTATTTTCTTTTTGGGGATAGAGTGATAAAATTGTTTTTAACTAATCGGGATTTCTCTCTACACTTCTAATGTCATGCTAAGAAAAGAAGTTCCAAGGCCGAAAATAACGCTCTCTTAACAGTGGTAACTTCAGCCACTCCTACCAGCATCTTCAACTGTTTCATCTCGTTATTTTTCAGACATTCCTCCTAAAATCACAATGTTAGATGAGCTAACTATCCTCCAGCTCAGTCTTGCACACAGCAGTTGCAGAAAGCCAGGAAACCACAAAGTGGCAGCACTCTCAAATCACAGTACAACTCAAGACTCTCTCTACTGCCTCCCTCCTCAGGCACCAACCCCTGCTCCCACCAGCCATTCAGTCTCTTCCTATCACCCTCTACTTCAGAAGGACTGAGTAGACTGAGTCATCAGAGGGAAACACAACTTTCCATCCCCACTTCTACAAACTTGGCTCAATCCCAAACAGCCTTGCTTTCACCTTGAGGGACCATATCTCATCTTTATCTTTCACTTATCTATCATTTGCAAGTGACCTAGCAAGTCCATAATACATAATTATTTTATCCAAAGGTATATATTGATAAGGCTGACATGCCAGTGACAGTCACGTAACAAGTGTGAGAGCCTGCCAGCCGGTGTGTTCATGTCAACAGGCCTCTGCAATTCTCTATTTACCATCCTGACCTGGCATTCTTGAGATGACCAAAAATGATTTTGTATGTGTATGTCAGAAGTGAAAAAACTTACAAAGAGTTGAAAAGGAAATTAACCTGTGAGGGAACAAGTCTCTTCATGGGAAAGGAATTAGGGAAAAAGCTGGGATCCTTTACAAATACCCCATGGCAAAATTTTGCTACTAATTTTCACGCTGAGGGGCAGTATTAAAAACCTAGAAAAAGTTCAGTCATAAGAATAGTATGTACAGTGATTTCTCGAGTCTATTACAATTTTTAATTCTACAAAAATAAATCCTTCAATATTTGTAGTTTAGATAGTGTTTGAAAATGTTACCTGAAAACCTAGTTTCTGCAGACTGCGGGCTAAACGTCTGGCACCAAATTTAGCTTCTTCTTCACTATGGTTTTAAGGAAAGAAAAAGATGATCAGGTAAACAGGAAATAAATTTTACCCTGAGGAACACAGCAAACGTTACATATAACTTTGCTGTTAAAGCTAGGAAAATGTCCTTTCCATGAGGAAAAAAGTAAAAAATAAAAATAAAAAATTCAAGTTGCATTTACCTTGTTGCTCCAGTGCAAATAATTTTTCCTGAGGACCAAATTGTAGCTGTAATTCTAGGTTTTCTAAGCTTCATTAATACTTTCTGGGGGAGAAAAATACATCTGATTACCTCATAAGCATTACTTTTCACATATGGTTCTGTTGTATACAGTCATATTAATGTCCAAATACTACTCCAAGCTTATCGAAGACTGTAATAACTACTCCCCAAATCACCCATTCTGAAATCAAGTACAATGCTGAACACAAAGAACATATTAATCCAAAAAGACATTTGATTAATTAAATATACAAGGTGTATAGAAATCTCTCACTCTATATTCTTGAAATCAATGTACTCCAAGTACATAAACATTTCAACTCTCATTCCACTCCAGTCATATAACTGGAACTTACATGGCTCCTCACACACACCAAATCTGTTCATGCCTCAGAAGCTTCGCAGTAGCTGTTGCTTTCATTTGGAATATTCTCCCCTCAATATTCTCACTTCATTCAGGTCTCTTACCAGATGTCCCCTCCTGAAGACAGGCCCTCCCCTATCATTTCCCTGAAATACCCACCCCTTCATCACCTTCTAATTCCTAACCCTGCTTTATTCAGCTTCGTGGTATCCATCACTACTTTATATTGCATCCTAGAGTTGGGATGCTTATTACATACTCAAGTTCAACACGGGCATCTTGAGTAATGAAGAAATGTTGGAGCTGGAGAAGAAATTAATTAGCTTTGGAAGGCATTTAAAGCTATGGATTACAATGAAATAACTACAAAGTGAGTATAAATAGTTCAAGGTACTAAGCTCCAAGACAACCTGCAAATTTAAATTTTCATTGCAACTTTTCATTAATGGAAATATTTGTTAAAGCGCATTCTATGTAAGAAAGAGACAAATGTTTACTGACATATAAATGAATCAGATGTTTCTGCTTAAAATTTTTGTTACATTTTGAGTTCTTCGTTCTCTGACATATGCCATATTATCAAACTAGAAAGCTATTTATCTGGGCAGACTCACATCTTTACTTAGTTTCTAGTATTAATAATTAATGACAATTTACGTAGGTATCCTGGCATCTAATTTTCTGAGCTAAACAGAGCCTTGAGATACATTCTTAATTTTCATGATAAATGTATAAAATGCATATCCATCTCATCAATCTTTGGTTTATAATGACATTCAATATCTTTTATAATGTTAATCTCAAAACACTAAGGTTTTGTTCGTTATTAATATTCAGGCTTTAAAATATTACAGGTTTAACAAAAACCAAAGTTTAAGCTGTCCAGTTTATCTTAATAATATCTTATATTCATATTATTTTCAGCAGTTTGTTATGAAAGAAAACCATCTACATTGGTTAATTAAAAAAGAATATGATAATTAATATAACAATTATATATTAAGGCATCATTCAAATATAATAATATTTGGTTTATGTGAAAATATAAGGGTTCTTTTCTTCGGTTAAAATAAACTGAGAGAACAATAAAGTGTCTCTGTAACCAATGAGTTCTTTGCTGATTCAGGGACAGGCACTCTATGTACAAAAGCTTGCACCTCTCCATGAGATGAGGGACTGCTTTTACAGGGCTCACTTCTGTATCCAGGACAACTAGTGCATGGTAAGGTGCTTATAAACTACCTGTAGAATGAATACATTTTAGTATCACTCATAGAACTATAAAATTAGGATACGTAGTACAAACATCAAAACTCAAAAACTTACTCCAACATCACGTTTATAAATTACATTTGCTCCTTCCAAAGCAATCTTCCTTAAGTTCAAATGGCATCTTGTTCTAAAAACACAGACTACATTTGTAATTAGAATGTCCAATGCAACGTCACTCTCTGCATCCATTGGGGTGGCTTAAAAATTTAGCTTTTCACCACGAAGATCACATCCTGAGAAATAAAACAAAGTCATTAAACTTAAATGTTCTCTTAATTCACTTTTCACAAACAATCTTGAAATGTAAAAAATGAACCTATATTTATTTTTCAAATATTACTAGAATCAAATCATGTCCCTGGCCAGGCATGGTGGCTCACATCTGTAATCCCAGCACTTTGGGAGGCCAAGGTGGGTTGATCATCTGAGGTTAGGAGTTTGAGATCAGCCTGGCCAGCAGAGCAAAACCCAGTCTCTACTAAAAATACAAAAACTAGCCAGGTATGGTGGTGCGTGTCTATAATCCCAGCTGCTTGGGAGGCTGAGGCAGGAGAATCATTTGAATCTGGGAGGCGGAGGTTGCAGTGAGCCGAGATTGCAGCACTGCATTCCAGCCTGGGCGATAGAGTGAGACTCCAGCAAAACAAACAAACAAAACAAATCATGTCCCTTCTTCTCCCCACTAAAAATGCCATTTTTAAAAAAGCTACCAGGACAGCCAATATACTTCAAAATCCAGGCCTTTCCTTCCTTAAAAAGTAACTTTTACTTGCCAAGAGTTTGCCAGACTTAGCTGGGTACAATGTGGCAGAAATAAAATACTACAGATTTCAGCTTCCCTAGCAGCAACTGGTATAGCCAACTGGCCACCTGAATATGTTCTGGTCAATGACACATAAAATGAATTGCTTATGTATCTTCCGGAAGTCTACTTAGAGCAACCAACTAAGCCAGCAAGGGCTCCTTTGTCTTTCTGCCCTTTTTCATTCTTGCTGTCTAGAGGTTGGATGTGAGAGCTAGAGCTCAAGGAGCCAATTTGGGAGCATGAGACAATGAGCACGAAGATGGTAGAACAAGATAGAAGCAGCCTGGGCCCTTTACGCTGTGAATCTCCTTATTATCCCCCTACTTCTTAATTCTAGACCTCATGAGTGTGAGAGAAAAATCAATTTCCCTCATGTTGAATTTCTGTGATATACAGCCAAACCTAATCCTAACTGTTGCACATCCCTTGAGGATGAGCTACCACAAAGCAACTACGTAACAGGAAACTTCATGCGAATAAACTATCAAATTTACTATTTCATGACAGACTTGTTTTTATATCAAACAGGTGAAAACAAATTGACTGAGATTTACTACTTTTGAGTTCTACTCTATTCTGAATTTACTATTTTGAGTTCTGCCTGAGAGGACAAAACTAAGGACAGTATTAGTAAAACTGAGTCAAGAAAAAAGGGTAAAGCAAATCTGTGTGAATGCAAAAAAGAAGGCTTGAAATTAGCTCAAAATTGCTAATTTTTCAACATTTCAGCAACTTAAATTTTAAAAATAAGGTCATGAGAACAGTTCATCATAAGTTACTAAGTATTCACATTTTATAATATGAGTAATATGACAAGCAGGCTCAGAAAATACTGCTTTAATAAGAAGTTTCCAATTAAAGATGCGATATAAAAAGTCACTACTTTTTAAAAAGAGGCAACCTACGTGAAAGAGCACATTTTTTTGAAGCATGAAAAAAGACCCACTCGCAATCAGTTCATCTGTCTTGTAGAACAAGAGAACAGAACTAGATAGTACCAAAGATTTACTTTTTAAAGTTAAATATATTATATCCCTTTTCAATAATATAATTAGAATGACAGTCCAATGAGACAGATAAATCTCAATTTCTACAAAGCATCTGATTGCCTACCATATCACTCGTATTTTTAAGTGTAGTGACATAATTTATTGATGGGTTAACGTGGTCTACCCGACTAAATATTAGTAGTTCAAAGGCTTAGGTTATTCTTGAAAACATACACACACACCACTTTGTTTAAATTAAAACAAGAAAGACAACGAAACAGCTAAATGAAAGATGGAAACTAATTCCCAAAAGGGAATATATATTCCAAATTGTTTATGACTATGATATACCTACACTTAAACATCAGAATCACCTATTTCCCCTACTAAATTAAGCTTCTTGAGATGAAAGACTGTTTTATAGGTCTATACATTCCCAGGGCTCGAATTGTATCTGACACATTGTAAATGTTCAATTACTTTGTGTATGAATGCTATGAAATCCAACATTTCAACCTCCGAACTATATAAAATTTATTCTCTACCTAGAATTCCAAACTACTTCTTTTAATTCTCAGCATGAAAAAAATCCTATTAGCAAGGCTGAAACTTTATTTTCAAAGCTACCTATTTTCACTGAATATAAAAGAGTTAACAATATTTTTTCCTTCAAGTCCTTTAAGACAACATTCATGAAAACGCATATACAGTATACTTCATTATATTTCGTGGTGGTTTATTACATGATTTCTTTTTTAAACTGGTTTGTATAGCTTCCAAAGGGAATGTGTTTAAGCAACTCTACCAAAAATATAGCATTTGAAAGTGACATTTAAACCTACAAAGCTATTAAGGCTGCTAACCATGGCACTATGGTATAGAATATTCAAGATATACAAAAAGGCAAAAAGAACACAATGAACATCTATGTACCTACTAGTCAGCTTAAAAAACAAACATTATAATACAATTGATGCCTCCCCATGCAGTTCTCCAAATCACACTCTCCTCAATGTTCCCTCCAGAGAAAAACTCTACTTTCAATTGAGGTTTTATCATTCTCATATATTTCTCTTAAACTTACTACACATACACAATGTTATATCCCTAAATCCAATTAATTCATGATTTTTAAAGAGTACTGATGAATCTGGTTTGCTAATACTTCATTTAGGATTGATACATCTATGTTATTAAGTAGAATTAGCCTATAACATTCCTTTCTTGTATTGTCCTTATCTGGTTTGAGCATCAAGGTTATACTAGACTCATGCAACAATTTAAGGTCGTTTATTTCTTTTCTCTTTCTTTCTTTTTTAATTCTTGGAAGACAGGTTAGAAGATGTTACCTGAAAATAATCTGGAACTCTTTCTTGTTTGATAAATTTTTAAAGACTAATTCAATTTCTAAGAGTTTCAAAATAATTCATGTCTCTGTTTTCTTCTTGAAATTGTCTTGCTAAATTAAATTTTCCATTTCTTCTAAATTTTAAGATTTATTGGGCATACAATTCTTCATGGCTGTCTTAATAGTCTATTATAGCCTACTTATCCTTTTTTCATTCTAGTGTCATTTATTCCTGCTTTTTATTGCTTTCGTTAATCTTACTGGAAGGCTTTTCTACTTTGGGTTCTTCACAGAACAAACTATCAGGAGCTGATCCTCTCTATTGAATTTTTTGCCCATGTCCACTGTTTCCTTCTTCCACAGATTTAATGTATTATTTTTCTAATTTCTTACATGAAAGTAATTAAGTTGAATACTTTAGTTTTTAATGGTCTTTTCTTGAATGAACATTTAAGACAATTATAACTCAGTTCTTTAGATGTGACTGAAGTTGGACATGTGTTTTCATTACCCCTTGATGCTAATGATATTAAAATTCAATTTTTTCTTGGACTAATCAGTTATTTATTTAGCAGTTCTTTGCATTTACCAGTAATTGAGGAAATGCTAACTTAAAAAAATAAGATGCCACTGAATTATATTGGCAAATATCAAACAATGTTGAAGGTGTGAGTAAATCAGTGTTCTTTTATAGTATGGTACAAAAACCTTCTATAGGAGATACTCTGGCAGTGTGTATTCACATAATTTAAAATGTGCATATATGCGGAACTGCAGTCAACTGGTAACAATTAGAAATAACTGAACTGTGCAAAATATAAATAAGATGATATACTGCAATTTTATTTATAACAGAAACGACCTGCACATCCAATGAAAATGGACTAGTTAAATAAAGTACAGTACAGTCTTATAACACAGACTATTAAATGGAGCTTATAAATTACAAAGCTATACAGATATAGACAGAGGTCCATGTTTATTAGAGTAGAAAAAAACTGTATGTCTAATTATGAGTTTATTTTGGTTTATATATCTACACATGCACTTTTGTAGTTATATCTGCCAAAATGTTAACAACTGTTCTATTCAGAGACCTGGCACAACAGAGTGCCTTTCTTTTTTATTTCCTTTTTTGGTAAAGTCTGGATCTTTTTTAAAAAACAAATATACATATATATATATATATATATATATATCAGGTTTAGTATATGAAAAATAGTTGTTCCCATTTTGATGTAAATATAAATACCAATTATTTGCCCACTGCCCAAGAGCTAATATTAAGACATAAATTAATCAGGTGTTTTATCCTGTTTCTCAAGGAAATGGCTTAGTTTGACTTGTCAAATATTTTCTTATAAAAAAAGCAAACATCAAAACCGCAGCTGTCTTCCCTTCAGAAAGTGGCATATTTCTAGCTTTCTACTAAAATGCATCATAGAATTTAAAATACATTCTTCCACACTCAATGATTTTGTGGACAAGAGCACATTATCTGTATTTTTGGTCCTCTTTCTAGGGGTTTTCAAAAACATTGCTCCAGCAACTACAAGGAATTGAAATCTTAACTGGAAAACATCGCCACCTTCTGGCTTTTAAGACATATTGCATCAAAGACTACTACATTTAAAATTTTCCACACAAGGAAAGATATTTAAACTAAAAGGCCACAATAAGCCCTGTCATAAAAACAGAGCAAAAATAAATCTAAATTCTAATTGAAATCCAAGAGATTAAATAAACCTGAAAATGCAAAAAAGAATAATTTAGCTACTTTAAGTGCACTCAAGTTGCAGCTGAGGCTACAGAGGAATTGACACCTCAAGGCTCTAACCACAAAATTACCAGCTATGATTTGAGAAACGGCAGAAGCAGGGGAGGACTGGTAACAGATCAAGCTGCGAACAGAACATGAACCCACGTCGTGTCCTAGAGAAAGCTCTTTTCTAAAAGTCAGACATGCCACACAAACTAACCTCATATTATTCAAAAAGCTCCCAAAATAGCAGATTAGGAAATAGACATTTTGTGTCTCAATTCCAACAAATTACTTGACAGTCTCTCAACACATGCTCATGATCAAGATGG